CGTTACCAGAAATCTATGCAACATAACAAAGTACTTTAGAGCAGTGCTTCTCACATGAATTGTGAGGAAGGACTAGTTTTGTTTTTTTAATTCCAGTTATTGGCAGGCCGATACTTTTGTAAAATACAGTGAGAATGAATTACTGGAAAAATTAAAAAAAAAAAGCAGAGCTACAAAAATCAAGTCAGCTGGTCACATGCTTAGATGTTGGGACGATGCTGTGGATAGTTATAAAAATTTCAATGCTGCCTCTCGACTGCTGTACTTAGCTCATTACAGATCAGCAACAGTGCCTGGCAGTGGTCCACAGAGCACACCTTGAGTAGTGCTGCTGTGGAGGCCCTGCAAGGGTTACGTTTGGGTACATTCTTTGTCTGTACTAACAATATCAGCCTACAGCAATATGCCTTGGGTCTTTGGTGCAGGAGAGGAAAAAAAAAAAAGAAAGAAAGGCGTATTAGTCTGGGTTCTCCAGAGAAACATAACCAATAGGTATATATAAATATAGAAAGATTTATTATAGGGAATTGGCTTACATGGTTATGGAGGCTGAGAAGTCCCACCGTCTGCAGCTGGCAAGCTGGAGACCCAGGAGAAATGATGGTGTAAGCTCCAGTTGAGTCTCAGTTCTAGTCCAAAGGCAGAGTCCAATATTCCAGCTTCACAGCCAGGCAGAGAGAATGAATTTTCCCTTCCTCTGCCTCCAACAGATTGGCTGAGGCTCACCCCCATTAGGGAGGGCAATCTGCTTCACTCAGTCTACGGATTCAAATGTTAATTCATCCAGGAACTCCTTCACAGACATACCCAGAATAATGTTTAACCAAATATCCAGGCACCCCATGGCCCAGTCAAGTTGACATGTACAATGAACCGTCACAGAAGGGCGCCATCTCATGTCAATGCGAATGGGGGCTGTTTGGTTCATGACTCTGCCAAGAAGTGTACCAGTTCCTTGACCCTAGAAACAGAACCACTCCTTTTATTTTTAACCTCCTGACAACTTGTCCATTATGCGAGCATAGAATCAGGCTCTCTGGTGCCAAGGGAACAGACTCTTCTTCAGCTCCTGTGCTTTCCATTGAAATTGCCCCTTCCTCTCTGTATGGCCAGCTGCTTGCTGACACAGTTCACCTCTCACCGAGATCCCTGGTGCAGCTCAGCCACTCATACCCCTGAACCCTCAGACCCGGAATGCAATACGCCAGCCAGCTGCCCTCTGAAGCTCACCCTCTGCCATGTCCTCACAGACCCTCCTTCATACCCCAGAATGTTTCATCTTCAGTCTAATAGATCTGTGACCTCCTCTTTTCCCTGTATCTTGCTTCATATAATCCTTAGCAAATAACTACTGATATTTATTGAGAATGTGCCTGGTGCTAAGTCCAATGGTTTCCATACTTTATTTTATATTTACAAAAATACTGTTCAGTATTTATCACAGTCCCCATTGACAGAGGAGGAAGCCTACAGGAGAGAAATAACTTACATGGCTATTACGGGCCGAGCTAGGATTTAAAGCTAACACTGTTTTTGCCCCCAAAGTCCTGATTCTTAACCATGAAATCGTATTGCCTTATATAAGATACAGAAAAATTGTTTACATGATATGCAGTCTCTTAAATAATACATATTTCTCAATGAGTAAAATTGCCATTGAAAATATTTATATATTTTCTGTCCATTGCCCTCCATCTAAGGATCCATCTTTAAGTTTTAGTTCAAGACCATGTTTCTCTTTGCCGATGAACTTACATGTTTTCCTGCCTTCGCCAAATCTTGCTTGGGTTTCCCCAGGTGGCTTGGAGTGAAATTTAGTCCTTAATTGCAGCAGCTGTTTTTAGCTTTCTTGGGATGATGTTCTTCCCTTTTTTGAACATGGCTTTATTTATCTGTATGGATGGTTCAATTGCACATGTTTTCTTTCCTACTAGACATTGAACATTTTGGGTGCAGAGACTGAAGGAACTGAATATGCACCTAATTTTGTAAGCTGCTTTTTCCAGAAGCAAATTATGTTGATATATCAAATGGGATTCAGTTATGACCAGTTTTTTCCTGCAGCGTACTCAGTGTTTATTATGTTGCTGTATGGGGGTATGGCTTAGCTATGTTCATTTGAGTATAACCTTGTTACTAAGCTGTAAAAATTTCTGTGGCAGATCCAAAGCCTCAGACAACCAGGTAAAAGGTGGTAATGGGAAGCTATTTACAAGATGCTTAGAAACTAGCGGATGAGTGGTGAAATGGGAAGGAATATTTTCAGTGCTTGCACTGATCTGAGCACACTCCTCCAGGTAGGGAAATTAGAGAAGATTAGTTGGGGGTCTTCCCATGTTTACGAAACACTTCAGTGAAGGTGAGAGTAACAGCTGGTGAGGCAGCCTGGGTCCTGGGGCCAGTGCTGAGAGAGAACTGAAAGCACACGGGAGCATCATCCAGCATTGACTTCTCATTCCCTGGACCATGGGAGTCTAGTCCTTGCTGAGACAATCACGGCACCTGGTCTCCCAAATCAGGATTGTCCTCAGGGAAAGGGAGGGTGATCCCAACTCATATGTCTGATACTCACTTTTGTTTTCATTTATTTAGTTTTTAAAATTTTCTTTTATTGATTCTAGAGAGAGGGGAAGGGAGGGAGAAAAAGAGGGAGAGAAACATTGATGTGAGAGAGAAACATCCATCGGTTGCCTCCTGCATGTGCCCCAGCTGGGGACGGAACCAGCAACCCAGGCGTGTGCCCTGACCAGGAATCGAACCAGAAACCCTTCAGCTTGCAGGATGACACCCAACCAACTGAGATACACCGATCAGGGCTGATACTCACTATTAAACCTGTATAGTCTGAAATTTAACTTGAAGGAAAGAGGATATGGCAATAGAAGTGTTCTTCCAGAAAAAGATTCTTGTTTTCTATATTTATGTGTAAGGATAGATTTGGCTTGGGAGGGGGAAGTCTGACTTATAATTAGCTGAAGATGTACGTTTTGTAATTGGCAAATGTGTGTGCACTTTGTGACTAGCATCCTGCCATTTTTGATGGGTCTGTGGATGCATGTTTTGTGAGCCGTGGACGGTTAGGGTGATTTGGGGGCTGATGGCTGGCTCTGGCTTCAGCCATGTGTCTGTTTTACTTTTCGGGGCCCAGAACATTTGTGAGAGTTGTCCCAGTTGTTATAATGAATGAAAAGTACCTTTGATAGAAATAGAGAAATCAGGAAGTGTGGCCTATTTTTTTAGGAAGATAATTAATTCGTTTTTAGACATCTTGAGTTTAAAATGAGAGTTTGACATCCGGATGGAAATGCCTTGGCTCAGCTGCGGCTGCTTACTCGAAACAGCCACTTAGGAGGCTTGTGTTCTAGAAAGGATTTTTTCACTCACCAGTTTGGTGCTCTTGGTCCAGCACTGTAACTTTTAGGAGCCTCATTGGTTGATCCTAAGTCAGCGGCTCTCAGCCCCAACAAGGACGTGGCTGACGTGTGCTCCAGACTGGGGAGGGTAGGGGAGTGTCCAGCTGTGCCTGCCACTCAGTGGTGTCCCAGGGAAAAGAAGGCAGGAGCCTCCTATGCCCAGGTGCACGCCAGCTCCAGGGTCCTGTGAGCACTGACCACTTCCACCACGTGGATTATTTTCACGGTGTGGCTGAGGGTCAGCAAGGTTTGGGTGTTTTGAACAGTCATTCTCCGAGACTGACCTTCTCTTGGCTGTCTTCCTGTAATATACCCCTTGTTACTCAGCAGTCCACTTTAGCTTGTCCTGCAGACACAAACTTAATGCTGGACGGGCCTCTGCAAGTGGCTTGCATGGAAAATGATAGGTGTGTGGGGAGAGCGCACAGGGGCCATTTCTCCCTGACAGCCTCCCTGGCAGGGAGGCCCTCCTCCTCTGCCTGGATGCCCCAGTCGCAGGGAACTCCTTCCAGGGCTGCTCAGTTCACCTTCTGGGAGCTCTGCGAAGAAGAGGTTCTTTACCCACACCTTGAAATCGACTCTCTGTACATCCTACTTATTCCCTAATTCCGCTCAGAGGCTTACCAAGCCTCTCAGCCCCCTTTGCAGATGGGGAAACGGAACCTGACATGCTCACTGTAACCGAGAGCCGTGCTCTTTCCGCTGCCGAGGGCCCTTCTTTTGCTGTTCCCCTTTCTTCTCTATACCTGCTCTTTCATTCTCCTTACCACATCCTTTTCCCTTAACCTGGAGCCTCTGGCCTGCCTTGCTCTGCTGGAAACTTCTGAGGCCCAGTGCCAGCCCTCTGGGCAGAGGAGGGTGTGCTAGTCTGGGTGAGGGGACACTTTAATTTCCTGAAAGGATGCTGGGAGCTGCTTAGCTCTGGAACACCTGGAGGTGTCATTCACCTTTATAGGAGGGTGCGTGTGAGAGGGGTCTCAAGGGTGTGCTCATAAGCCACTGGTACAACCTGGACCGGTGTGGGGGCTGCTTCTCCGAGGTGCAAACTGTTCTGCGTATTTATCAATGCTTAGCACCTGGCTTTTCCTTCCTGCTTTGAATGCTGTGTGAGTAGAACACCTGATTTTTGCCTGGGAAAAGTGAAACATGTGGATCTTTGCAGGGTCACAGCCAAGATGTCCAGTCCCTGGGCAGCCCAACGTTTCTGGGCTGTGCAGTCCTTTCTTATAAGAACTGGGAAAGAGTCTATCAGGCTGAGGAGAGGAGCAGAGAGTAGTCATATGTACAGGGAGAGGCAGCTTGATGATGACATGGTGTCCCACAGCCTGCAAGGGCAACAGGTTCAAATTCATAAGTAAATGGGAAAAATGAGTTAAGACACAAAACGAAGGAAGGGAATAGAACTGTAGATCCTTTGGGAATTGTGCAGGCTATGGGTACCGCGGAATTTTCTTACTTTTCCTCCAGAAATGTTACTGTTTAAAAGAGAACACTGGCCATCTGAAAACCAGGGTGGTCCTTTAAGGAAGGGAAGGAGGAATGAATGACAATGTCTTTTTCTCCTTGCCTCCCTTCTCTTGTGAACAGGGAGAAGATGCCTTTCCACCATGTGACCGCTGGCCTGTTGTACAAGGGGAATTACCTCAACCGCTCTCTCTCTGCCGGCAGCGACAGCGAGCAGCTTGCTAATATCTCTGTGGAGGAGCTCGATGGTAAGGCGCCCGCCCTGTCTGGGAGCTTAGCCACCCAAGAGAGCCAGGTGTGGCTCTTGCACATCTAAGGTGAAAGCGCCAGGCTCTGGCCACCAGCTGTGGCCAAGTCTAACTGTGGGGTGACGGGAAAGAGTTCAGAGATAAATTCTGCCTGAATGACTTCTTTGTGTGGGGTAGACCTTGTAGCCTGAAAAACCTGGGCGGCTGTTTCTGTTTCCTTGGATACTGACTGGGAGGACAGCCTTCAACACCCCAGGTGTATCTTCCAGTTTATGGAAGCTTTGTCACCAATGGTGTTGTCGTGTTTCCATATTGTCATTTACGATGGGGCTCAGCTGTGTGGGAGGGTTAAGCCCTACTAATGACTGTCTCTTGACTTGTGGCCATGGCGCTTTGAATCCTGCCCAGACCAGAACCATCTGGAAGGTGTGCTGAGGTAGGAATGGACAGCAATTATTTTTATTGCCTCTATTCCCTCATAACACAGTGCAGCCTTGCGTGTTCAGGGCAGGGTTAGGGATGGGAAAAACCTGAGGACACAATGACTAAATTTGTCCTGGGACAGCTGTTCATTGTATCCCCGCTGGTAAACCAAAATTAAAACAAGGAAGGAGGAATCTTTTTCTAGAATAGAGAGTTAGGTAGATTCAGCCAGATGTTTGCCTAGGTGCCACATCTGCTGAAGCCAGAATCAGTTTTCCCTCGTGTTTTGGAATGCTGTGCTCCTTACAACACATTTTAAAACACGAAGTCTAAATTTACTTTCTAAAAGAGAGAAGTCCAAATTAACCCCAGATGGTTCACATCTTTGCTTGTGAGTGTAATGATCCGAACCAGTATGCTTTCTATGTGCACATCTCTCACAAGGGCAAGGGGGGAAGGTTCGGTCGTGGGCCAGGGAAGCCAAACCTGCTTGACGATCGGCAGGAGCTGAGGGGAGCAGAGGACAGGGCCATCCGATAGCTTTCCCTGCCCTTGTTTATTTTGTGGGCATGCTTATCTAAAGGCTTGCTTATTTACAAGAGCAAGTGGCAGAGGCTTGTGGGCTGGGGCCAGAGGAGAGGCTGGGATGTTGGGGCAGTGGGAATGATGTGGGCAAGGCCAGGCTCCTTAGGGCCAGCTGCTGCTCCCTGTGGTCTGGACAGACTGGTGGCCAGAGAGGACAGCCCCACCCTCAGATATCCTGGCCTTCAGCAGGCCGAAGAACTGTCAGATGCAGGACACAGATGCTGGCAAGAGAACCCTAACTGCCTCTGAAGTAACCCGTCCTGGTCACCACAGAGAAGGCTAAGGCTGAGGCTGGGCTGGCTGTGGTTGACAGGTGCGGTGAGGCTCACACTCCCCCACACCTGGAGGAGTCTCCCCAGTGGACAATAGGGCAGGTGGTGCACTGGTTCGGTGGGTTTGCACCTGTGTTATGTAGGTCCCCTGGGGTTATCAGTTAGCACGAGTCCCCTGTGTAGGGCCCTGCTGAGCAGAGGCCTTGAGAGTGGTCAACTCTTGAAGAGGCTGAGATCACTAACCAAAGGAAATTTGAAAATCATCTATGGCTTTCCTATATCCTGCTTTCCATTTCCCTTTCTCTTCCCTTCTCCCTCCCAACTTTGCCATGAATAATAATCGAGAGATGATTTCTCCGCTTCTCAGAGCAACGGCTTTTTTTTTTTCCTTTCTTTCTTTCTTTTTTATTTTAAATCTGGGCCGCCTCTGGGGCGCATGGCTTTTCAAGAGGATGGCTGGCTAGATTTCAGCCCTTCTCCCCACTTTGGGCAGCTGGCTGAAACACCGTTCCATGTTCTTGGGCAAACATCAGAGTTCACCAGCTCTTTCACCGAGGTCCAGGCAGCTGAGCAGGGCTGAAAGGTGCCTTCTTAGCAGGCGAGATGAGCAGGGAGTGACTCGAACAGCCCTCAGGCCCAGCTGGGCAGGCTCAGCAGTGAAGCCCTGGGAGGGGGGTCCTTGGTGGCATGAAGTGGGACTTTATGACCCGAGAGTGGCTGGTGAAGGTGCTGTGTTTGTCCTTTAGGAGGGTAATCCTGGCTCTCGGCCTGGAGAGGGGCCATTTATTTCCTGACAGAAGACTTCTACTTTATTTTTTGCCAAAGTCACTCCTGAGTTATGACTGCTCCTGCTTTCTTACCAGCTCCGTGGGGCTCGGGCAGGGCTGTGCAGATGAGTGCTGAGTTTCGAGCAGGCCATCAGGGCCTGAAAACCAGCTGGTGTGGGTCAGTTTGGAGGACTGCACACTGGTGCTTCGGGAAGCCAAGGTTTCCAAGGCTTTGCCTGTTTGCTGTTCTCTTGGGGCTGCCTCATGTCAAACTGAGTTCTATAGTCCTGCCATTTGAGGCCACTCATTTAGCCTCAGGGATCTCATGGTGTTGCGCAGGGAGCCGATGTGGTGGACACCAGTGAAGCATCCTTTGTAGCCCATCAACCTCCGGCACAGACATTAGTTGGGTGCCGTCCTCACTCCCTGCTCCCTGCTCCTCACCCCACACAGCACTGAGCCTCCTGCTTCAGTGTAAGGGGCCCAGCCCATGGGTGGGTCCCTCTGAGAACAGGCTTGACTAGAGCCTCTCTCCACGCAGCCCATCTCCAGCTGCCATTTACTCGCCATTTACTCGGGGAAGTTTTAGTTTCTTTCTTTATACAAAACTCAGGGAGAAGTAATGCAAAGCTGCCTTAAGTTGGCCAGGTCGGAGTTGGAAATTGCCCAATAAACAAACTCAGCCAGGATCAATCGGCTGAGACCATCATTCATTCATTCATTTCTTCATTCCTGCTGATTCATTCATTACAGGAATATTTACCCAAGTGCTTTCTGGGCAGAGGAGGAAATCAGTAAGTACATTTGTTGCCTGTCCCCAAAGAGTTTGCAGTCTGTCCATGTAAACACGAGATTAATTAGTAGTATCGTGCACTTTTACAGGGTGTCATGTGAAATTTTATAAGACACACGAATTACAATTTTTAAAGAACAGTTTCTGAAATGCTATTTATTGCAAAATTTTGTGATGCCATCTTAATTTTAAACTAAATTCACTGCTATATGAAGTTCATTCATTTTCATTGATATATGGCATTCCATTGTATATAATGTAACTCAATTTCTATGCCCATTCTCTTCAGGATGGATGTCTGGGTTTCCAGTTGGGGGCTGTGGGGATGTAGCCCCGCTGCCCCCTTCCTGGTGCAGCGGCGATGTCAGGGGCTGCTCTCCTCACGGCTTCCTTGCAGCGGTTGTGGAAAGGTCAGGGTGTCGATACTTTTCATTATTTTGCCAGTTACAGTGTTAGCCCCTGGGTTGCTTTCTCAGGTCTTCCTTTGAGCTTAGGTTTGTTTGCTTTCACATCTTTGATGGTTATTATTTCTGTTTCCTCTTCAGGAATGCCTCTCATGTTAGTGCTGGATTTTTGTTCGTTTTTCGCATTACATGTCTCTTCTCTCATCATTTTTTTCTCTTTTGCACTTCTGCGTTCAGCACTCCTTCTCGTGTGTGTCGTCCACATCATTGATTTAGCTGTCTGCCATCATTTAAAAATTGTTAAAATTATTCATGATAAAATTTTAAGTAATTTATATAATATATATGTATATATTATACAGGGTCCAGCAGAAGTAATGCCTGCTTGAGTGTGGTTGGTAGGGTAATAATATGGGTGTAACAGTTTATAGTTTTAATTTGAAAATTTCACCTAAAATGTCATATGGTATGTTTGAGTGTGATGTTGTTATTGTACAGAATGACATGCTTATGATTTTGTAATAAAAGGGTTTGTAAAAAAAAAGGGGCGTTATTTGTGCCACACCCTGTATATACATAAATTTTATATATGCATATATAATACACATATATAAAGCCTTTTAATTCAAGTGTCCCAACTAATTCTGCCTTTATTTTGCATCAGAAAATGTTTCTATATTGTCTTTTTTGGTTTTTTTCTATTCTGCTTTTCGATTCAACCATTATAGGTGTTTTTAGGACCAGTCTCTGTGAACAAACCATGTTTGTAGAATCTTTAACCGTTTTTTGTTCAGTCTTCACTTTATCCCAGATTTGGGATAATTTTATCCTTTTTAGCTCAGCTTGGAGTGCCCAGTTTCTAGAAAACATTTACTGTCTAGTCCATGGCTGCTGGGCAGAAGTGGGGTCCGGTTGCCCCTCCTGTTGAGTTGGCTCCTGGTGCCACACAATTATATCACTCCTTTGTTCCTCCCCCTCCTGCTCTCCTTCCTGTTCCCAAACTAGTATCCAGTGTTCAGGGATCCCAGGTACATTCTGGTTCTCATCTCCTCTGCAGATAATCCAGAATGGGCCACACCAGCCCATGGCCCTAGTTATCTGAGTTGTGTTTCCTGAAGGAGCTTATAAAAGAGGTGCTGCCAAAAAGGAAAAGGACTCACAGACATGGACAGCAGTGCGGTGATTGCTGGGGGCCAGGGTGAGTGGAGGTGGGAGACAGTATAAGGGGGATAAAAGACAATGGGAAAAATGCAATAAAAAAGAGAGAAAGAAAAGAGGTGCTATCAAAGTGGGTTTGGCTTGGGAACTAGATCACCATGGAAACAGCTGCTATGAAATAGGGAGTGACTACTTGCTTTGCTGGTCAGTGTGGCCTCTGGGTCCCTGGCAAGGGCAGGCAGTGGTGGTAAGTCAGAGTCTCTCTTCGCAACGTGCCACTGTGGTTCTTAGGGTGGGTGGAAGTTGTGTTTCTCCAGTATCATTAGTGTTGCAATTAGTAAACATTCTCCTTGGGCTCTGACATGTCTTTATATCTCAAAATTAGTATTCTTGGTGATGTGCTCATACATATATTTTGGGGGCTATTTCCATTTCAGTTTGGGAGTGCATGTATCGTTCTGCCACCCTTCCATCATGAAGTCCCATTTTAGTAGTTGGCTAACATCATTGGGGCTGTTCCAGAATCGCAGCTTCACACAGCCCACACTCCTCAATGACCCACGTTTGCCCGATCCAGTGGACACTCAGTGTCTTTCTG